CCACTGCTGACGATCAGATACCACCGCGAGCGAGCTCGATTGTCGACGGCTGGTGCAGTGGATGACCCTCCACGACTTTTTGCTGTACGTCTTGCCCTGCTCTCTGGCTACCAACCGTGCATCCACTTATTCGATTCCGCAATTGCATAGCGAACAGCCGACGTTGTCTTCGTATAAGACTGCCTTGGTCCAATTGGTGGTAAAGCCCGCTTTCACAACAAGCCAAATTCGCGACATACAACGCAGCGACTCATCACTCTCGTCGCAACAGAAAGGAAATGAAGCCGAAGCTCTACTTGCAGGTCGAGCCAAGGTGGAGCTCTCGTACTACCAGGAAAGCTTCGTCGAGGAGGAGCTCAACCGAGGGCAAAAGCGTAAGGCCTCGACCAGCGTCAGTCAGCGGGATTCGCGCCATGGTGATGACGATGAGCAACTCTATGAAGTGGAGCGGATCGTTTCCCGACGAAAGAGAAAGGTGCGCCGACCACAGGGATCCTCACCACCGGCCCTTTACACTTCAGAGCTGACGACAGGCTTCTCCTCCTCCTCCAGGGGCGTGTGGAGTACCTGCTCAAGTGGAAGGGCTGGGACGACTCGCACAACAGCTGGATCGCTGCGAAGGAGTGCGCGTGCGACGAGCTTGTGGAGGAATTCGAGGAGAATGAACGGACCAGCAAGCGACGAAAGCGCGCCAACAAGACGGCGTCCACCAAAGGGAAGGAAAAGATCATGGACGAGTCAGACGTAGAAGATGAAGTGAACGAGAAGAGAGAAGCAGAAGCCATAAGGAGGGAAGAGGAGAAGGAGCACAGTAACAGAGAAGAAGAGGAACTGATAGATCGACGAAAGCGAAGACGCTCGTCTAGTCAACTCATCGACAGCATACTGGAGACTCAGCTGAGTCCACTAGGCGACGAATCGATTCTGGACGAAGAGAGCGACGCCAGTGCTCAAGACGATGACTTCCAGTTGGACGAGTCGTTCATTGCTACTACTACTCGCTCAACACCGGTCCCTCTCTATTCATCTTCGTCTTCGTCTTCCGTCCTCTCAACCGACTCCGGCTGCGCCTGCTACACCGATCCGGCCAGCCCCTTCATGCTCGTCGACGGCTTCTGCCTTCGACCTGTTCCTACAGATGGTACGCGCCAGACACACAGTCCACCACCCGTGTCAACTTAACTGAATGATTTCCGGGTGAACGCAGCCGCTGAATTGCACCATCAAGCGAAAGCGCAGCACTGGCGCGTCAAACACGGGAAGCCACTCGGCCATCGGTTTGAAGTCACTCCTGAACGCGGCACCACGGACAGGCACCGCGTGTTCGTGTTCGAACACTGCGAAGGCTCCGCCCCAGAAGACGTACGTCGACCACGGCTCCATGACCTGACTTATATTTCCGGCGCGCTGACGCTTGGGCATCTTTCTCTCTTGGCAGTGGCACCGTGACCCAGATCATGAGCGGAAATGGAGGCAAGGACGTGATGGTGGATTTGGTCTTTAGGTACGCACGCACGAGATATACATCGCTCGTGGTTAGGCGCAAGTGCTTGAGTGCCGCCAGGATTCTCACAACATGGCATCGTCACACATTCTCCAGCTTCGACACGACCGGTTCCATGTACGACTGCCTGGACGAGGTGAAGACCAAGGTGGAACAGATCGTCGGAGATCTGCTGCGCGATGTGCCAAGTACGGACCTTGATTAGCTTGGCATGGGCTCTTTGAGGCCCAATCGCTCATGCTTGGTGGTGTTTGTTTTTTTCTGGGTCTCATCAGACATCCGGATCGGTCTGATCGCGCATGGCGACTACTACGATCGCGACAAGCTGCTGGAGGACGGCACCCCGTCCTACGTGATCCGCCACCTCGACTTCTCCAGCAATCTGCAAACCCTCTGCTCGTTCATCCACGACACGCGCGAGACCTGGGGCGGCGGCGACGGAGGTACGCACCTGCTCTCTTCTCCAGCTGTCAAGCTATTGCGAAAGACGAAGCTTGCGCTTACATGTCGTGCGTTGTATTGTCAGGTGAGTGTTATGAGCTCGCCCTGTGGCAGAGCCGTCAGCTGTCGTGGCGTGCGGGCAGCACGAAAGCACTGGTGGTGATCGGCGACGACCTGCCGCACGTGCCCAGCTTCCCCGGCAACGTGCACAGCCTCGACTGGCAGGCCGAGGTGCGGCGCCTTAAGGCCGATGGCGTGAGCATCTACGGCGTGCGCGTTGCGGGCGACGAACACTTCACCGCCGCGCCGGCCGAGGTGGAGCGATTCTACCGCACCATGGCGCAGACCACGGGAGGCGAGTACCTCACGCTCGACAGCTTCGCCTCCATCCACGAGACCATGCTGGGCATCCTCTACCGCGAGGCCGGCGACCAGCAGCTGGAGAACTGGGTCAAGTCCAACGCCGGCGCTGGCAACGCCGGTGCGCCTGGCGCCCACGTCTTCCTGACCGCGACGATGAAGGAGCTGACCCTGTCCACCGACGATCTGATGCGCATCCACGGAGCCCTCCACGACAAGGCCGCCCACGAGGTGGAGGTGCACGGCCACCGCCACGCGGTCACGGTCGGGCGCGCCGGCTGCCGGTTCGTGCGGATCGAGGGCCTCACCTTCGTTGAGCAGAACAAGAACAAGACGAGCCACTACGCCCGCATGGCCACGCAGGGCAAGAAGATCACGTGGGTCGTCAAGTGCGGCGAATGGTACGTTGATGCCCTCTCCCTTTTCTTGGTCGCTCCTGCTGGGGCTCACATCACCATCTTCTGCGCAGGGGACTCATCATCGACGGCGAGGTCGTGAAGATGTGAGCAGCGTCGTGTGTTGTTCGGAGTTGTTTTTGTAGGCAAAAAGAAAGAGAAAGAGAAAAATTGTAATTCGTGATCAGCTTCCGGAAAGCTGTGGAAGAGGGAACCCACACCCGTCGGTGCTTGGCGTAGACTCGGCCGTTTCGCGGAGCGCCATGCACAGCCGCCGGCGCCTCACACTCTTTCTCTACGGCTTTGCCCTCTTCTCTTTTGGTGCGCCCCTTGCCTCCCGGATCTAAATAGCCTCATCTAATCATCTTTTATTTTATTTATTTTACTTCATCTTTTTGTGCTGGGCTGCGTGTGCACAGTGGCGGTCAACATGATGCTGGGGTACTACGTGTATGTGGAGATGCGCGCCTTCAATGTGGTCATCACGGGTGCCGATCGCACTGCCAAGCTGCCGGCGCACGAGCGGTCCCTCTTTCGGTCGCCCGACGTGGCCGACGCCGACGTGGAGAACTACGTCCAACGGCGCGCGTTCACCGACCTCATCGACAAGATCGACGACCTCGGGCAGACCATCCGACTGCTCATCCAACGCTCGGCCTCCGCCTCCCCCGTCAGGCCAGGCACGCTCTACTTCACCCAGCTGTGCATATGCGTAGAAGTGGTGGTGCGTGTGGCGTGTAGTCAGGCGTGTCATGAGCGCCGTGAGCGGGATCAATGCACACTCTTATTGACTCGGCCCAATCTACCAGATACAATAGCGCTGGTGACGCCGATCACGTCAAAGGGGAAGATTATGGACGTGGAGTCCATGCCCCTGTTCTCGGTGTCCGTGCCCAGCCTCTGCGAAACGGCCAGCTCGGGCTACCACTACACCTACTTCCTCTGCTACACCCAGGGCGACTCCGTGTTCGGCGATGCCGCAGTGGTGCAGCATCACTTTGATCAGGTCGGGTCCGCCAGCCAGCCACACCGCTCCTCCGCAAGCGTACCTCTTTTGCTGACGTCAGCTGTACAATCGTCGCGCATGTTGGCCAGATCAAGCAGGACAGCGCCGAGTGCAGCCGATGGCGCAGCGAGGAGTTCGAGGTGGACTTTGTGCTGGTGGAGGCCGGTGAGCGGGTAACCGGCAAGCGTGGGCTGAGCATCCTCTTCAACTTGCCCACCCTGCACGCCTTCGCCGCCGGCTACGAGTTCTTCTACCTGGTCAACGACGACCTCCGCTTCGTATCGCCGCGGTGGACCGAGGAGCTCACCGACGTGCTACGTCGATCGGCCGTCGTGCCCCACTTTGGCATAACCGGCGGCCTCGACATCTCCTCGCCGCAGCCCTTCGCCGAGTTCCCCTTCTTCCATCGGCTGCACGTCGAGATCCTGGTCGACGAGGCGCCGGCCCACCCCTACATGTTCCACAACTGGTGGGAGGACAACTGGATGAACGACGTCTACATTCCCTGGAACGCGTCGTACTACCGCCGCGACATCCTCGTCCAGAACTACGCCGGACTCGAGGAGGAGCAGAAGGAGGGGGACGTGGTGGAGAAGGGCGTAGCCATCAAGGTAGAGCCGCGACGATACGAGGCCGTGCACGACCTGCCTCCGGCCTTCTACATCCGAGAGGTGGAACGCGCACGCACCAAAGTCCGGCAGTGGCTATCCGTACGCACTCCTGGGCCTGGGGTCCCTCTGTGTGCGTGTGCGCGCGTGTGAGCTCTCAGCCTGACCTAACCTAACCTAACTTGGTCTCGCTACGCAGGGGCATCTGGCTGCATCGGCCAGGTCGCGCGAGCGGCTGCTGGGGGTGGAGTTGGAGTACTGCCGAAGCGTGAACGAGACGCTCACCTTCTACAACCCCATCACCAACCCCTGCGTCAACGGCCGCAAGAAGCCCGAGTGGCAGTGAGGCACGAGCCCAGCTGCGCCAACCAGCGGCAGCGGCTCATTGGGTTATTATATAAATTATTTTATCTCTGAAATGGCCCGACAATTCGCCAAAAAAAGAATCAGCATCATCTTCTTCCTTCCGCTCCTGCACGAAGTGAAGGTGCCGCAGCCCTTTCTCCTTCCTCTATTTACACGATTCCTATTCGTGTCCTTCTCCATTCACCAACAATCTTGCTCCTTTGTCAGAGATGGCGTCCTCTTCGTGCCTGCTGTGGTGCGCCTCATTTGCGCTCCTGCTCGCCGTCGGCTTCAGTGCTCCGGCCCCGCCGGAACAGATCCGCCTCGCTGTCACCGGTGCCTTACCCCATTTATATTAGATTTTGGGCATTTCGCTTTCGAATATTTATTATTTTTATTGACAATTTGGAGGCGAGATGGCTGTGACGTGGCAACACGTGCCCCAAATATAATATAGTGTTATTTTTTAAATTAGTTATTGAATTGTGTCTGACGGACGTCTGTGCAGGCACCAAGGGTGAGATGGTGGTCGGTTGGGCGACGTTGAGCAAGTCTGGGACGAAGGTGCAGTACACGTGCTCCGGCTGCGGTCAGTATGTCGTGGAGGGCAAGGCCAGCTACTACTACATGCCCTGGCTGCCCATCTACGTTTCTCCCCAGATTCACTGTACGCTTGAACCAATGCAATTGCACGTGGATACCGCATCTGACGCTCGTGTAATGACCCTCATGCATAGTCGCCACTCTGCGCCACTTGAACGCCTCGACTGTGTACGTCTTTCGCTCTGTACTCCACGTAGCTGTATGAGATCGGTGCGTGGCGACTGACACTGACACTTCCTCACCACACAACTCATCAACACTACACAGCTACTCGTACCGCGTGGGTGACGAGTCGGGCGGCTGGAGCGACTTCTACCAGTTCACCACTGAGCCCGAAGTGGCTCCCACTCCCGACAGGTGAGCCGACCCCGCGACTCCTTGAGGAGGACAAAGGCTAACAAGTGGGTCGTGTGCGCCGTGTTCTGTGTCAGGCCCATTCGCATCTTGTCGATTGGTGACGAGGGCGCCACTGCCGATTCCAAGGAGGTGCTGGCCGCCATGATGACCACCGACCAGCAGCTTCACTTTGATCTGCTTGTCCACGCCGGTGACATCAGGTGCTCCTTCCGCATTTACGCCAACAGTCTGAATGCAACCCGATCGGACTAAAACCAACCGCGCGGGTGGTGCATCGCCAAACGAGTAGCTATGCCAACGGCGTGCAAGAGATCTGGGACGTGTGGGGCAGGCTCACGCAGCCGCTGGCCAGCCACCTGCCCTGGATGGTGGCCGTGGGCAACCACGAGCTCATCGACCTTCTCCTGCCGTACCTCAACCGCTTCTCCATGCCCGGTACGCTCATCCACTTTCCTCGGGCTACGACCAATGATTGCTCACCACACACACACACACACACACACCACCGACGTGCAGCCCAGCAGAGCGGTGGTACCTGGGGCAACCTGTACTACAGCTGGGACTACGGCAACATCCACTTCATCGCCCTGGACTCGGAGTCGTTCGAGTACTTCGAGATGTCGCCGCAGCACGTGTGGCTCAAGCAGGACCTGCACAACGTCAACCGGACCAAGACCCCCTGGGTGGTGGCTTTCTGGCACACGCCTTGGTATTGCTCCAACACTGGTACGGCGACCCTCGTCACCCTCATACCTAGCTTCAGCCACCATGTCGCCACCGCTCACCGCTCACCGCGCTGCTCTCGGCACTTCAGTGCATGAAGGGGCCGGCTGGCTGATGAAGGGTAGCTTCGAGGACCTGTTCTACAAGTACAAGGTCGACCTCGTCCTTCAGGGTACGTGTGTGCGTGTGTCGCCGATGCCATAGAGAGCTCAGGATCAGCGGTTGGATGGCTGACTGTGCATCCAATGGCAGGACACGTTCACGCCTACGAGAGGACGCACCCGGTCTACAAGGGTAACGTGACCGCCGACGCGCCCGTCTACATTACCAACGGTGTCGGCGGCAACGGCGAGGGCCTCTACAAGCACTGGGAGCAGCCCCCGCCCGCCTGGGCCGCCAAGTCGTGCGTTCTCCTCCTCCATCCTCCCCCACACCTTTTGGCTCAACGCCTAACTGGTCACGTGACAGGGTGTCGGAGTATGGCTTCGGCTACTTCGAGGTCTACAACGCGACCCACCTCCACTGGACCATGAAGAGATCCAGCGACAGCACCGTCATCGACGAGGCCTGGCTCGTGCGCCCCGCCATTCGTCGTTGACAGCCTCTTTGTCTCTGCTGTGTTTGAGCCAACAGCCTATTTATTCTCCACGTTGAAGCGGAAGGAAAAGATGTATGGAGGAGGGAGGACCCGCGTTGGGCCACATGTAGGAAGCCGCCTTCGTTGCTCGTTTCCACGGGCAGGATGCTGGTCGATCTGTGCCACCCCGCAAGAGCAACATCGTCGCGGTACCAGCATGCGATTAATCAAACAGATTTTACTCCCCCAGATTTAGATTTAATCAGTGTGGCACTCAGTGCAGCCCTTAGCACGACCTCAGGGTTGCATGTAAGTGCTGCAGAAGAGCGCCAGCAGAAGCGAGTGCTCATGATCGGCTCCGTGTGGCCCGAGGTACGCCCGCACTGCGCCGGTGCAGTGGTATGCAGTGCTCACCGTCGAGGCCCCTCTCGAAGAAAGACAGCTCCGCGGCGGGCGTGCGCTCGTGGCAGCTCATTCGAGCGATGAGGGAACAGGACTGGGACATCCACGTGTGCTCTCCCGCCAAGCCGACCGCGTTCACGGACAGCCTCCGGCAAGGTACGTGTGGCACACACGAGTGCAGTCCCGCCTATGCAGTATCTCTGACCATCTCTCGCGGTCGATTTGGTGGTGGTGGTGGTGGTGGTCTATGACCAGACTCAGGCGTGCACACACTGCAGGTGAGGGTCAACCACGACAGCTTCGACGGGGTGGTCGCCCAGCTCAAGCCCGACTTTGTCATCTTCGACCGCTTTCTCATGGTGCACAGTCCAACCGAGCTCGATCGAGAGAGACGGTGTGAAGTCTTAAGAAACCTTGAGTCTCACCTTACTCGCTCGGGTCATGCAGGAGGAGCAATTCGGGTGGCGGGTCAGACAGGCCTGGCCCTCATCGATCTGCGTGATCGACACGCAGGACTTGCACTTCATCCGGCGGGAAAGGATGAAGGCCCTCGAGCAAGGTCCCTCTCCCCTCTTTCTTTGTAACCTGGCGCGTGGTGCGTACACACGAAACAGCTTTGGACTCAATGAGGGAGGACGTGGCCTGCACAGGGAAGTCGATGGAGGAGATCGTTGACATTCACATACCACCGACTAGCCCGGACATGCTGCGCGAGATCTCGTCCATCCGCCGCTCCGATCTCACCCTGGTGCACTGCTGGCCTTCTCAGCTGAACAGCTGGCGAGAGAAGCGCATCGCGTGATGGTCCTCATCCTCCCCGCAATGCCGTACCTGCGCAGGTGGTGTCGTCGTGGGAAAAGGAGCTTCTGGTCCGCCGATACGGAATACCCGAGCACTCGGTAAGCTATGCACAGATGCCCCGCTATCTCTGCGTTGCTTCTCCCATCAGTCAGTGTTGCCTCTTTCGGCTCGCACTCATCTTCTTCTCTTGCTGGCAGCTGCAACTGGCGCCGTTTTACTATGACGAGCCGCCAGGCCTGCAGGAACTGCCCGGCTGGGATCGACGGTAAGTCAGCACTCCGTCTGTCTCACGCCGGTCTCTATTGTGACGCAGTCCCCTGTGCTCATCGGTGCTGACGTGTGGGCATTGGTCAGGCACAACTTCTTTATGCTGGGCAACTTCAGGCACCCGCCCAATTGGGACTCCTTCCACTGGACCTTCCACCACATATGGTTCCCCCTCCACTCTACTCTTATGGCGCCTCTCGTCCAGTTGCCTTACCGGTCACGTGTGCCCCGCTATGTCGCGCAGGCCCCTCATCAGAGCTCGCCTGCCCGACGCCAAGCTCCACGTAAACCTGCACTTCTTCGTCCAGTCACCGCGCAGCTGTGGTGATTCACTGTGATGGGCTGGGCGGGGGCTGAGCAGGTGTACGGAGCGTACCCGGACAAGGCCTCGGTGCTCCTGTCCTCGGCTGACAAGGGATTCGTGGTCAAAGGTGCCACCATTCTCCTCCTCTTCGACCCTAGGGGCAGGGGTTGTAGCTCATCTTTTTGGTGGCGCAGGCGTCCTTCCACCGGAGCGCCTGCACTCTACGATCCGACGACACCGCGTCAACCTGGCCCCGTTGCGGTACGCATGTCCGACGTGGCCATGGATGCCCGCTCGCGTCGCCGACCCTAAACCGTCCAACCACGTTCAGATTCGGGGCGGGCATCAAGGGCAAGATCGCCGACGGGTGGTGGTACGTGTGCGTCTTGATTGGACTTTGGGCTTTACACATGCCCGCTCACTGCGACTCTGCGCGCCTACAGGTCCGGCTTGCCCTGCGTCACCACCCCAGTAGGTGCGCGCTCCTTGCTCCTTTTGACCGAGGCCCGCACCACAGGCTCGGTTGAGCGTGGCTGACCAGATTGGGCAGGTGCCGAGGGCATGCAAAGCGTGACGGACTGGGGAGGTGCCATCGGACGCACGGCCGAAGAGATTGCGGACCGCGCCGTAGCGCTCTACTCCGACCAGGAGCACTGGAGCCGCGCGCAGATGGTGCGGGTCAGCCGCAGCTTCCTCCACCAGTGTGGCGGAGGACTTACCATTGTGGGTCGTTGTGTTGTTTGCGTGGATGGTGAGCTGCGCAGCGAGGCCGAGCGTTGGTGGAGGAGCTGTTCAGTCACAGAGTCAATGCTCCGCAGCTCATCCGTTCCCTCAACCAAGCCGCAGCGCGGGGAAGCAACGCCGCCCGCTTTGCCCAAGGTACTCCGCGTGCCTCGTTCGCTTTGTTGCTTCTGTAGTTGAAGCGTTGGGCCACCTGGTGTTGGCTGACATCGTGGTGGCTCCTGGGCCAGGCGAGATGGACCTGGACCTCGCTTTGGTGTATTACAACAGCAACAAAGCGAACGAGGCACGCGCCCTCCCCTCGCCGAGCGGAACGATTGCCTAACCCCCTCGGTTGTGGTGGTGCACCTGCAGTTCTTCTCCAAGTCCATCATGGCCAAGCAGAAGCTGCGGGCGCAACAACACTCCACCACCACCATGATCGGTACAGGTGCCCTTCCCAACCATGACCATAACCGCGACGACGAACACAATCTCGTGTGATACATACACGTACGAATATTTATATAGGTGGGTAAAATATCAACTACTCCCACGACTACCAGCGGCGTCGCCTGTTGAGCTTGTCGATGAAGATGTCGTAGAAGTCGGGGTCGGCGGTGAGGACCACCTGGACGGGCTTGCCCTCGACGTTGTCGATCACGGTGCGGCCGGCCTGCGAGCCCGAGGTGACCACCGTCATGTTGACCGTCTCCTCCTCGAAGATGATCGAGTGGTCGGCCAGGATGGCGGCCGTCAGCGGGTCCCACAGCGAGTACATCGACGTCGCCGCCGAGTTGTTCTTGATCAGGATGAGCAGGTCCTTCACGAACTTGGCCTCCTTGGTGCGCGCCACGTCGTCGAACTCGTTCAGGAACTCCCACGACAGCTGGAAGGCGTTGGTGGCGTCGAGCGGCACGAGCCGGATGGGCACGCCCGACACGAACACGTTGCGGGCCGAGTGGGGGTCGAGGTAGATGTTGCACTCGGCCACAGTGTTGGGTGCGCTGCCGCGGGGGAAGAAGAGGTTGCCGGGGACGTGGACGGCGCCGCCCATGATGGTGATGCGGCGCACGCGCTGCTTGAGGTCGGGGTAGCGGCGGAAGAGGTAGTCGATCTCGGTGAGGGTGCCCAGGGAGAGGAACTCGACGGGGCCGTCGAGGGCGGCGATGGCGGCGCGGAGGGGCTCGTAGACCTGGGGGAAGCCCGGGTAGTAGTTGCGCTGGGGGTCGGTCAGGCGCGGTAGCGCTGGTTGAGGCCCAGGATGGTGTCGGCCCAGGTCTTGCCCTTGGGGAAGAGGGGCACGGTCTTCTGGAAGGTGCACGAGTAGTTGCCCGAATCGATCTCGGTCGAGGCGTAGGCCTCGCCGGCCCACACGGGCACGTCGTCGCGGTCCATGAACTTGAGCAGGCCGAACAGGTTCTGGATGCCCGGACCCATGTTGCAGAAGCCCGCGCAGCCGGCGACAAACCCGCCCACTTTGACGTTGGAGTACTTGAGGATGAGCTTGAGCGCCATGAAGTCGTCCGTGTTGACGTCGGTGAAGACGAACACGGTGGGCTTGGGGCTCGGGCTGGGGCTGGGGCTCGGGCGGTGGGCCAGGGCGACCGTGGCCATCAGGCACAGCATCGCCACGACGACGATGAACGACTTGCTCGCGGTCATGATTAGTTTGTTATTAGGTGTACAGGGAGGAGTGGTGTAGAATACAGGGAGTGTGATGGTTGTTTGGTTTGTAGCTGTTTGCCTTGGTGGCTGACTCGGTATTTATATGGACGGGCAAGCGTACCGATTGGTGGCTGACCTCGAGTTGACGCGTGCACCGAACTATTTCTGGTCTCGATCTCTTCTTCAAAGGGCATGCTGCAATTGGATGTTGCGCTGAGACCATGGAGTTTGGATCACTAATTACACACCGTCATCTGAATTGGAATGCCAATAGGAATGACCATCTCTCAATTAATCGGTCAATTACCGATAACCGCAACTTCTAATTGGCCTGCCCCTTTGTGCCAACAATGATCACATGCCACCATTCTGCCTGGCCCTTTCCACCAAACCTCACTTTCAGCCAATGTTGCAATAACCGTTGCAGGCCATCGGATATCAGATACACGGCAACTATAAGCAACAGTTACAAGTTCGGAGCTAAATCTCAACATATTCACACGGGAGATCTTCGAAAAACAGTTTTGTGTGAAAAATCTTCGATCATAATTACACGGAGGCAAAGTCGCCGGCGAAAAAGGCGAGGACGTCGTCCATGTCGGGCCGCTTGCGGGGCTTCTCGTGCCAGCACCGCCGCATGGTGTCGGCGTAGGCCGGTGGGCAGTCCGACGGCACGGGCGGCCGCTTGCCCTGGATCACGTCGAACGCGACCGTCGTGAGGTTGCCCTCCGCGTACGGCACATGGCGCGTCAGCACCTCCCACATCACGATCCCGAAGCTGTACACATCCGCCTTCTCGCTGTACACCCGCTCGTCGACCACCACATCATCGTCGTCGTCATTGTCATCGCCATTGTCATCATCGCCATTACGGCCGCTCTCGGCCGCGGTGGTGAAGACGGGTGCGAGGACCTCGGGCGCGGTCCACGAGGGCGACCCGCAGCGGGTCATGGTGCAGTTGTCCTGCTTGACCGTGGCGAAGCCGAAGTCGGCCACCTTGACCCGCAGGTCGTCGTCCACGAGCAGGTTGGATGACTTGATGTCGCGGTGCACAATGCCGCGCGCGTGGAGGAACGCCAGGCCCAGCGCCGCGTCGCGTAGCATGGCGAGCCGCTGCGGCCACTTGAGCCCGACCGACGGGTTGGAGAGTAGTGTGCGCAGGCTGCCGCGGGGGACGAGCTCCATGACCAGCAGCAGGCTGCGATGGCCCACGGAGAGGCCCATGAGCTTGACCACGTGCGGGTGGTCGATGCCGGACAGGATGGCGGCCTCCTTGCGCAGCTTGCGCATGCCGTGGTCGTCGAGCCGGCTGTTGAACAGACGCTTGACCGCCACCGGCCGCCCGTCGCAGGTACCCTCGAGCACCTCGGCGAAGCTGCCCTCGCCGATGCACTCGCCCAGCTCGATGCTCTCCGCGTCGATGATCCACGGACACCGGTCAGACGAACACACCGCCTCGTCGCCGTCACATTCCTCCTCGTCTTCATCGTCGTTCTCCTCGTTCTTGTCTTCGTCATCACCGGTCGTGTCCAGCGCTACGCGCACCGACCTGTCGGGCCGCGTGGTGAATCGAAGCTGCTGATGGTGGTCCGACGTAGCATCGCTCTGCGTCTTCTCGGTGAAGCTGGCGTGGAAGGCGCCGGAGCAGACGACGCGCCCCGGCGGGCAGCGAGCCACGAGCCGCAGGCAC